CTTCTGTAGGGTCATCCTCGCGGGCATCCGACTTGCTCTTAAGCGGATTCAGAACGAGTCAGTGAAATTCGACTTGCCCAACATGCGGCGACTGAGCCTAGCCTTGTACCAAATATTGAGACCTGCTGGCTTCGGTGATCTTCGTGGGAGTCCGAAACTATACAGTTGTGCGAATTTGGTTCGGTGTATTGTGAAGGATATGATCGGGGATGAGTCAACGTAATTTTCTCTCAACGATGAGCTCCTTGCGTTATTTCGCCCAGTAGTCTGCGAGTTAATATGTACAATAGAGTTTCGTCTACGAGCAGCGCGGTATCACCCTACAAGGTGCTCATTCTTGAGCACTTCGTAAGCTGCGTAAAGCGAGAGATTGAGGTATTCCCTAGTAAGCTTTTTGGAGGAGTGTTTGGTATCTACAGTGCTCACGCTTCCGTCGCTGCCGAGAACTCGATAGTAATCAACAGCCAGTCTATCACCAATCGATGCTGATATAAAAAAGTGATGAAACAAGTTGCTTATCGGCACCAACAATATAAAGATGACAGTTGGATGGAAAAACATGAAGAGAAAATGACCAGAAAACTTAAGTGTACGTCCAAAATAGGCCCAACCGAGGCTAGTATGAGTACATTATGATGCACTTACACGATCGATAACTTGAAAGGATAGTTTTCGGGAAAGCACTTCATCACATACCACGATACATATAGTCAGGCCGAACAACAAGCCATCATAATCTGTCTTATTCAACGGCCTAGTTATGATAGTGCGTGATGAGATCACAAATACTTTCCCTTTATTGGAAGATGATAAAACAGTTGACTCATTGAGTTCGTGCGCGAATTCTCGTCAACGGGATAGTCCTGAGCCTAATGGTCGCGTGGCAGAATAAGTTCGGTAACTTCAACGCAAGGTCTCGAACTCATAAATCAATTTACGTGATAGTGTCTTTTTCTGCACTTTCCGGAGTGGTCGCTCGAGATGTGTGGGCACTTCGCACAGATGCCTCGCTGATGTAACAAGCAAGTTTCTTCGCCCGTGATACAACATACTCGTGAACTTCATTCGCCCGCCTGACAAGAACCAATCCTGAGCGACATCAGCAGCGTATCATTTACTCTGTGTATTCGCTGTTTCTGCCGTTGAATGTAATGCAGTTATCCCGCATGAGGTCGACGTCCGCAATAAACTGCTCACGGGTTTGGTACTGACCCTGAGTAAAACCAGGAGTCTAGAACCGTCTCGACAACAACGTGCTTTCTGTTATTCCACATATGAAGACCTCCTCGAAAAACCTACACTATCACACTTATTCTTCATCGTTTGGAGATCCATCGGCTTCGTGATGATCTCATAGTAATTCGGTGCTTCTCTGAGACTAACGGGTTCCCGGAAGGGCCAAGCTGATGACGAGAATGGCATTCCAGCGGTTCGCCCTGTCCTGATCCTCACCGAATGGTTTCTTCGAGACAGAGGTGATAATGGCAGACATCTGTCCCTGTAACGTACCTACTCATTCACAGACATGTGATTTTATGAGCCCAAGGTCGACCTCATAGGGAGCAGTAGGGCTTACTACTTTGCCGGTTGCTCTGGTGCACTTCATCGAGTTCGGGTATCCACCCACACTCCATGACGCCAGGAATCGACATGGGATCTGACAAACAGGTGTCCACATCTAAACAAGAGAGAGTAACTTGAAGTCACTTTTCGCGACCCCGTCGCTGAAGTCCAAACCGTCAAATGCCTCTTCTGGTGGCCTGCAATACCTAAACGGCGAGCTCACCAACTGGTACTTCAAGAAACCCCAACATCAAGTCATCCCAGACCTTCTGAGCAAGTTCTTCAAGGCAAGTGCCGAGTTCTAAGTAGTTGACCTGACGAAC